TCTTCAATTGGGAAATTTTTGTTTGTTTTGGTCCACATCTGAAAAATTCTATTTGTTGTTGTGAGTGTTTTGGATTTTTCTAAAACTATTCATCAAATCGAAAAGAAGATTTCATATTTCTTCTTGTGTGATATGTGTCCACTTTAACCAATTCATAGACTCATCTAGTCCTAACGGTTTTAAAGCTTTTTAGCTTCTTTACATGTATAGTTACATTCCATGAAAAAGAATAGTATATAATTGTATTTCATATAGGTCAAACCGGTTCAAGAAAGTCATCAATAGATAGTATTTGTTATGGTTTATTTGAAAGCGAATGTCTTTTTTTTTTGTCAACAATTTATATTAAACTATATCAGTTCGGAAATTCAAATCAGATGAACAACGTTTATATGTAAACATCATGCGGCTGTGGTCAAGCACTATGTTGGCACATATGCATTTGAAAGCGAATGTCGTAAAAGGGATTCATCTTAAACCATGTTGTGCATGAGTTTGAGATTTGGAAAGAAATCCAAATTATATTTTTTTAACACTAGTGAAAGTTCCTCGTAATACTAGCATGAGATAAAAACATGATAATTTTGGGGGCAAAATGTCAAGGAATGATTCTCTCGCCTTTAAACATGAAGCTCCTAACCATGTTTATGTTAAATATTTTTTTCACTCAAATTTAATTTGTTTTGATTTTGAGACTGAGTGTTCAGATGTGGTGAAAATAATGCAATTTCATGTTGAATGGCCAACTTTTTAAAACTTATTAAACGAATGTAGCATGTTGCATGAGATGTTAGGTATCTATTTCCACTTTGTTTAAATGGTAAAGTTGGTTGTTTAACACATTTAGTTTGCCTTATATTTGTGGATGTTTCTTTTGTAAATATTTATTTATAGAGCTGGATCACTTTATATGATTATGCACTTGGTCCGTTTAGCTATTCATTTCGAAAATATCTCAATATTTATATATGATTATTTTCGAGTTAGATCAACCAGATTAATTTATGATTGAGTTGGTTTTAGTTCATCGAACCTTTTTGATAGATCAGATCGATTTCAATTCGGATGAAGCATTCCGTGTTGTGACTCTATACTATATTAAGTTTTTAAGCTTAAATTAAAACTAATTCCAATGATTTGATTGATTTATGTCTTTTATATACTACTCAATATTCATTCCCATTTTTTATGTGTGATATTTCTGTGTAGATTAAATATTTTGTTGATTGTTTAGTTTGTGTGATATGTACAATGTTCAAGAAAGCGCTAGGCGCTAATCGAGCGGTGACCCAATGCCTAGTGCCTAGAGAACGTCTAATTGAAGTTTAGGCGATTTAATAGGCGGTCTAAGCGTTTTACAAAAATACATAATATATTAGATATATATATAACAAAATATATAAATATGATAATTTATAACTAATAAAATTTATATTTTATTTATATTCATCATTTTATAACCAAATATATAAAATTTTACAATTTTATATATAAGAAAATTTATATTATTTTATTGTTATTATACAATAATATTTTAGGCGGCAAAAACTATAATCGTTATGGTCCATAAGAACCTAACGCCTAAGCGCCGCCTAAACGAACGCCTACAACGTTTTTTAAAACACTGGATATATGTATTGAGAAAGGATACGAGTATCCCATATTTAGATATCCAAAAAAAGAGCCAATTGATCTAAGAATTTCTACGCACATGGGAAGACGCAACACCTGACCTGTCTTCGCCTGTTTAACTTGATAAATTGTCTCCCAAATATTATAATCTTCTCATTTGAATAAGAAATAGTTCAATTTAAGTTAATTCTCTGACATGACAAAAAGACAAATTCAATAATCTTATATAATATGTATACAAAATTTTGTTTTGCTATAAATAATTTTTTTATCATAAACAAAATTCTATTTCAAAATGGTCTCTAGTAAAGATGATTTCTAAAT